ATCTTGAAATACTGCTGCATAGCTAGTCGATTGGATAGCTTTGCAATGCAAAAACTGTACGTGTGGATGAAATTAAGATAAAAATAACAAATCAGATTAGGGAATTTAGTTTAGATATTAGAAATTAATTAGCTGATATTAGAAAAAAGAGGGAAAAATAGAGTGAAATAGTCTGAGAAAACAATCTGTAATTTAGAAAATAAGTAATTCTCTAATGTAAAGATTAAAAAAGTGGGAATATTCCGAGCCTTTTGACGCTATAACAATAATTCATATTTTGTTACTTGTACACCTTTTACTACTTTATGTTGAGTTCTTTCACAAGCAATCGTGATTTGTATCCAATGTATTATGATTTTGATTCTAACTTTTTTTCTACAAAGTCGTCCATGGTAGTTTCTGGTTTTTTCATTTGTTCGTGTGCGTGTGTCATACAAAAGTGTAGTAAGTGTCAAGGTCTTCGAGTACTGCGTATAGTGCCTCTGAATGTTTAATATTAAAAAAGTTCCCTTTATTCAATGCAATTCCGAAAGAAACTATGGAACGGTCACTATCCACATGTTTACAAAATTGAAATTGATCAATTTTCAATGAAGTTTGCCGTGGGAATGACAACTTATGTTGCAAATTACAAAACAGCTTGCGAATAGATACTATACTTTATTTGCTTGTTAGGATATAAATCTAAAGAGATGAAACTTCCTGAATTTTTTTGGCAGGACTCGATGGCAGGCACAAACGGTTAGTTCTTTTTCTGTATTTCGCTTTTTTTTCAGTTGATTGTTTTCGTGTAATTATTTTTGTGCCTTTGTTAACAAGACATTTTGTTGTGCACGATGTGTAGAACAACTTGCAATATACTAGTCGACAAGTTTTTTTTAATATATTTACATCTACCAATGTTAAGGTAATGTGCGACACTTTTAGAATAATTTATAAAGTATGGAAATTTTTGAAATTAAAAAGTATATAATGTTTCTTTCACTTCAAAAAGAATAAGGTCTGCGCATTGCATACCCATCATGAAACAGTGGTCCTGATTAGATATTTCATACTTCCAACCACCGAATCGCCCACGAGAATAAATATTATGCGCCTGAAGACCATAAAAAACAAAACTTTCTCCGAATTCAAAAATTTTGAAACTAAAACGTTATTTTACATAACATAAAAAGTTGTTAAAAAAGGAACTTGCTTGAAGCGTTTCATGACAGCGTCGTAACTCCTTGTCTCTGTCAACAGTTGGAATGGGATATCCATATGGCAAGATACATAACCATTTGTCAACAATCTCGTTATTATCAGCTATTATGCCTTTAAGTTTCAAACCTACAACAATTAAGTTTATATCCTCCATTTGACAAAAATGAGAAAAATGTACTCCTAAGGCAAAAAATATACTTAATTTGTATAACTTAATGAAGAAATAATAAGTAATAAGTACGGTCAAACCTTCAATTACTTTAATTATCACTTCTTCTTCGACAAAATTTGCATCAGCTTCCAATCCAATTTCACACAGAACTGACCAGAATTGATTGCAATCTGGTGTTAAGTTATCGTTGAAGTTGGACAAGAAAGTACATCTGGAACAGGGAACATGGAGTATGACTGAATATAGAAGAAATTTACAGAAATTTGGTAGAATATCAATAAATTTGAAACCGTAACGAACCTATAAAAAATAGTATCAGGTAATGGAAAATAAGCCCATGTTAGAAGTTGAGTCCATTCACACTGCGGATGTTTTAAACCAAGACCAACAAGGACCACCTAAAAAGAAAGAGCAAACAGATAAAAGATTCACAATCAACAGTGTATTGTTTATTTAAAAAAGCAATATTTCAAGAAAAACGACCTTGGAATATTTTAAGTTCACATCGCTAATTGCAGCGGAGATCTTCGATAATTCAGGAATCGGTAAGGTAGATAGTATAGCATTATAATCATACGAATGTGTCTCACAATTTAAATCTTCAGTAATTACCTGTAAAACTAAAAACGATGATGGCTACTAATATAATGATCATGACTGATTTAAATTATACAAAATTCACACAAATTTCAAAAGAGGAAAAATAAAATCATAGAAAAAGAAAGCACCTTTTTTGCTTCAATATCAATCCTTCGCACTCTTTCTTGAAAATGAAAAATGGACTCCGGATATCGTCGAGCAATTCTTTTCCAAATTTTACCCACACCTTTATAGTCTTTTGGATATCTAAGAAAAAGTAAAATTTAAAACGGAAATTAAAAAATAAGTCAAAAAATCAATTGTCAGGTACGGAACTGCATGATGCTAGCAAAACTGAACCTGAATACTTACCTGAAACACGTCATAGATGATTTAAAATCATCCTCAAGTTCCTGTCTGCTTCGGCCACAATGTAATTCAATACTAGACAAATCGATAGTTGGTACTCGATTCCACGCCCAAAATGCGTTCATTTCTTCCAGCTCAACTGTCCATACCGAAACAAACACAGTAACCCTAGTTCCTTTTTTAATTATAGCAGCATTTATTTATAACTTTTTTATAATTAGCTAAAACTCAATTTAATGTTCATTCCACAAAAGCTTACAAATTTTCAGCAATATAAAATTATTCATCGAAATTTGAATTACCTTACGATTGTACGGCCTAATAAAGATATCCAACAATGTATTTCCAAATATATTTGCACTGTATTCAGCAAAATTCGAACAGTTGATGGATAGGCCTTGAAGATTTTTCAATTCATTAATGCATTTCTGTCTAATAGTAGGTGGGAAATAGGGAATAGAATGTTGAACAGGATAGGGTACGTAATTGCTGCACGGACTGTCGCTTTTAAATAGATGAGCTAAATCGGCCTGCAAATAAATAAACAATAATCCAATTAGCAATTTGAAAATTTTTTGTGCAACTTTCAAAATTTTGGAAATTTTTCAACATTTCAAATATCTAACGATTTTTATTAATGCCCGTTTACCTTGACTGAACGCCTAACTTTATTCCATTTGTTCACAGCAGAGTCAATAACTTCTTCGAATTCCTGGTACTTTGATACACCGAAAACATGCACACCCAAATCCCATGTAAAACCTTTTTCATCGGTTACTGATCTTGCCAAACCACCAACTTCATCTTCTTTTTCCAGAACAGTGATCTCAAAAACAGATCGATGTTAAAAGATAAACAATAAATAAAACACTCATGTTTAGCTTAAGTGAAAATCGAATGAAATAGTGGTTAATCACTCAAACAAGCTATATTATATGATCGATAATTCAGATTGCAATGCTATTTGATGTTGTTATCACAATTATATATTAGGGATGATCTCCAGAAGTGTCATGAAACATGCTTAAGAAACACTGATAAAGAACAAAGAAGCAAAGTATATCACCTGTATATCTTCTTCCGATATTGTTCCTTCTGTTATCAATGAATAAATACGATGCAACACACCGATTGCAGTAGGTCCAGCACCAATGATAACTAATCGAAAACCTTTATCGATTTTCAAGCTGCACATGGACCGAAAAACTGACATTAATTAAAATCTGTTCTGATGGGTACTATTTAGAGTATTGAAATCTTCAAAATGATTCTCTATTTCGAAAGCAAATATCAAACAATGCATAACATCAAAATAATTTAATAATTGAGAGATTATGGATAAAGAGTGACAACAATAAGTGATACATATCAAAATCTATCGACAAACATTATGCAACGTCTCTGAACACCGTGTGACCTCACGTATACCAGTCATTTCTTGGTAGCAGAACTTAAATACATTCTAAATTTAAAGGTTTATGCCTTTAAATTTAGAATGGGTCTTTGTAAAATTCAAAATGAACAACAAATTAACGTTTGAATTAAGATACAAATAATTAGTAAACAGCTAGTAAGATCAGATGTGATTATTACTTGCGTTAGCAATATAATCCAACAGAAGTTCAACACATTTCAAAAGTTAATGTTTTCTCGCAACTCGTATCCCAGCCTGTCTTCTGTACAGTTAAGAGCGGGAGATAACAGTTCATGAACTGTTGTATCTGAAGATGATAAGGCATGTGAGGTTTGCCTTGTCATCATTATCATTATTATTACCATGTAATATACTACTTGACAACACTGTTATCAGCAAGTTCATTTTAAATCTATTTAAAAGTGAAAGTTTTGTTGATAAATTGATTGTGACATTCTACGAAATAGTTGTGAGGAAGGTGACAGACACAGGCATACAAACAAAGGAACTGGTATCAAATAATTAAAGGATGTAGAAGTTCCGATTTGACTGATTAACGGGATCGGAAAATGATTCCATGAAAATCAAATGTTCATAAAAATAAGGCCATTCTCTTTGACTGTAACTGTTGCTGATTGCCATCCACTATTATCGATGCCACTACCATCGATACCACTATCATTATATCATTGTTACTATTATCATTTTCATCATCATCATCATCGTCATCATCGTTATCATCATCATTACCATATCACCATTTTCGTATTATTGCAACATTATATGATCATTATCATCACCATCATCGTTATTACTACTCTAATAATCACCACTGAAAAAGAATAAAGAATATTTGGGCGTATTTTATGAAAATACAAAGCTTATCTTGGCAATTTTTGTATACATTTTTAATAAAAAGTTATTTATTGCTTTAATGTGGGGAAAGCAAGAGAATTAGGAAGATGGAAAAGACGGGAAGGGGTGAGAAGATGAAAAAGTCGACAAAATGTCACCAAATCTTTTGTTTTGTTCCAGTATTTGACATTCACGGAAATTTTCCAGGAAGAAGAGGAAGGAAGGATGACTCCCCATTTACCCTCATCGATGTGTACCACTTTCCATCTGTCTATTCGTTAGAACAACTATTTAATGATAAAAAATTGTTAGTTTGCGGAGTCGATCCTTGAACGAGTGGTATCTATCCGTGTGGTGACATCCTGTTCGACAGTTATCTCCAATGTTTTACCACTGTTTGGAATTATTATTCGTGGTGTCCATTAGTGCAGGTAAGTCCAGTCCTGCCACTTTCAGTATCACAATAATCTTCATTAAGTCAATCTTTAACAATTAGTGAAAACTGAGTTTCATTCAGATTCATTCTTTATTAAGCTTATTTTAGGTCATCTTTTTCAGTACCATTGCCTGAAGAACTGTATTATGATGGAGAAATTCCGAACTGTCATGATGGTGGGAAACCTCTGCTAGCCGCAGATATTGGAATTCATACATGTGACAAAAATTGTCCGGAAGGATTTCGATGTGAATACAAAACAACGAATATTACTGCAAGGAAAGGTATAGTGAATATTTCTTATACTAAAAGTTATTGAATCCCCTTTCTGGAACTACTGGATCATCGGCTTACTACATTTCTGTGGCGCAGTTGTGATCTGGATGAGATCAAGCATCAGGCCTACCGAAAGAGACTCAAATTTTAAGAAGTTTAAGCATTTATTTTATTTTAATCCACTTACTGTTTGGGCTAAAATTTATTCTCTCTCCTAAAACTTCGGAGAGTATGGAAAATTTCTAAATTTCCAGGTTATTTGAATTTTCTCCACAATAAAACTGTTTGAAATAGTGCGAAATGAACATTAAATTGAAACAGATTTATTTGTTATACAGATTGATGGATAGATTACAGTTATCTTAATTTACAGGCATGTGTTGTCCGAATTTGAAAGAATTGGAAAAAATTTACAGTGAGGATGAGAAATTGGAGTAGAACTGTGAAGAAATCGAATATCTAAGAAAAAAGGATTCCTGTTGGTGATGATAATCTTGTTATGTATGTAAAAGATCGTGGCTTTAACTTGCGATCTAATTGTTACTTTTCGCAGTCATAATTTTATGATCAATAAAAAAAGAGTATTTGATACAATGTCATTAAATATGAAACTTCTGCAGAAATTATCGTTAGTGTGGCTGTTATTCAATTAATTTTTTTTTTTTTTTGCTGAACTCGAGACAAACGAATATCTACTTGGATTATTAATGTTTCATTATGTGTACAGGATAATTTCATTTGTTGAACAGATTTTATTTTAACTGATAATTTGCTCTCTTGGTGTAGCAATGATTACAAATGCTATATGAATGAATTAAAATTAAGCTTATATGTTGTTAATGAAGATGAAAAGTATTCTGAGTTTTCAGCACATTGCTGCTATCGTGTTACTGAGAGAACAATTGCGCATTCAGGATGTTTATGTTTGAAGTCATTTACAATCATTCGTCTTCCTTAGATGTCACTGCTCTCATTTGATGATTAGTGGTCAAATAGGAGCTCAGTTGCTGAAACCTACAAAAATCAAATCAAATCTGATCATATCCAATTAATTCATTATCGTGAAAAAACATGTTAGAATTGAGTAGTCAGTTTTTTATTCTGCCTCATTTATTTTAAAATTATTAATTTGGAAAGTAATCATTGAACCGTCTATTGTAATAAACAATGCAAATACAATAATTCCTTCTTTTCCTCGTATAAATGTTGCACTTTTCGTAAAAATCCATTCATATTTGATAATTTAAAATGGCCAGTAATAAATCATACTCGTTATTTTTCTCTCTTTGAATTACATCTTGAACCATTACAATTGGCTAATTATAATAATTTCTGCAAAAATGCAGATTAACAGTTTAATTGTTTAAGTCTAAATATTAGTTTTGCTTTCTGTTCTATAAAGAATAATCACAATTATTTTATTTTAATATCGTTTCAAATTCCTATTTCTTGACTTTTCTTTCAAAACAATTCGAATTTGATACCTGGAAATGCATATTTAATCGAATTGTTTACTTCAGAATTTTTAGTATCACAATTGTTGCTACTACTGACGGTATATTTTATTTGCTTTTGCATTTCTGACGAAATGCATTTCTGATGAAAGCGTTTTATTTCTGATAAAGTGTCTGGAATTTGGTATTTTTTGTTAATTTTCAACTAATTAAACTCATTTTAAATTCATTGTATGTTGATTTTTTTGAAAAATATAACGAAAGAACACTTGCCATTTTATTTAATTTAACAAATTTTGAAATTCATTTGTTGATTGCTATAACCATTTAAAGCGTACCTGTTGCTTACAATTCTAACTTGTTATTTCTATAGAAATAAATTTGAAAATATAACTTTCAAGAAAGTAAGTATGGAAGTAACAAACCTGAAAAAATGCTTAGGTAACACAACTGTCCAGAATGTATCTCTGTATCTGAAGCAATTGAAACCATTAGAAGATAATTATCAATTAAGAAGCATTTTGCAGAAAGCTTCATGTAGAATGTTTAAAAATAAAAAATTTCCATTTTCAATTGGGAATTTTTTGATGCAAAAGAAAAAATTTTTTTAAACATTAATGTAACTAGCCTAGAAGACATTAAGCAGTAAAGGACGAAGGTAATCGATGAATTGAGCAACGAGAGGAGATCAAGGATGTCACCGAGATTGAAGTAAATATATATATGTACATGAGTGGTATAAATAGCATTCATAATGGCGATGATCCCTTGCGGCATCTCGGCAATTAAAAAAACCAATACTATGGCAAGCAGTAGCGCTGATGTCCGATCTGACTTAGTGACACCTCTGAAATTTGTTGTCTTGATATTTGTATCAAATATTTGTCCAATTTTTCTATAATTCTTCAGTTTGAATATTCGTATTATCATATAATTCGTTTTCTCAGATATATGTAAATTTACTTACAAGTAAAATGCCACAATATTTAATGTTTTTAAAGCATTGTTTTTAGTTGTAAGCAAACTTCGTTTCGAAAGGTATCACTGATAGATCTCATCACTTTGCATAGTATATCTTTCTGCTATTTCAAGATTTCATTTAAAAAAAAAGCTAATGGAAAACAACCTTCTTGCTTTCGTCGAGTTGCACTTTAATAGCATTTTACGTTTTTTAGTGGTTCGATGTAATGTTAGCATAAGACCAGATGAAAAACAAAGTAATAGTATGCAAGGTATTACCTGTAAGAAAAAAAAGAATCAGATTATTAATTTGAGCTATGTTTGATAGTGGTTGAATTATGAAAGATCCAAAAAGATATTGTCGATTAAAAAGACAGCTTAATTTGTTCCAATTTATTATTCCGTTTGACACTGTGATCAATTTTGGAAGCTAAAAGTATAAATAGAAAAAAATGGTTACCAATTATAAAGGCTTTCAAGAAATGAAATTGAAATACCTTGAAAATAACTCCCGACATCCATAAATTCCATTTAAAAAAGCGACATCCATTTGCCATTGCTGACGGTGATATCTGTGAAAAAAAGTAGTAAATATAATGAAATTATTGATATGAATTTTTTTTATAAATTCAACAGAAAAAACTTTTTTCATCGATAAACTATTAATATAATATTTCATTACAGCTTGTAACGAACAATAACTGAATCGTAAATAATAAGATGTAATAAATAAATAATAAACAGCAATAATTATTAAATAAATA